TACAATGGAATATTACTCAGCCATAAAAAGAAATGAATTTGAGCTATTTGTAATGAGGTGGATAGACCTAGAGTCTGTCATACAGAGTGAAGTAAATCAGAAAGAGAAAGACAAATATCGTATGCTAGCACACATATATGGAATTTAAGAAAAAAAAATGTCATGAAGAACCTAGGGGTAAGACAGGAATAAAGACACAGACCTACTAGAGAATGGACTTGAGGATATGGGGAGGGGGAAGGGTAAGCTGTGACAAAGCGAGAGAGAGGCATGGACATATATACACTACCAAAGTAAGGTAGATAGCTAGTGGGAAGCAGCCGCATAGCACAGGGAGATCAGCTCGGTGCTTTGTGACCACCTAGAGGGGTGGGATAGGGAGGGTGGGAGGGTGGGAGACGCAAGAGGGAGGAGATATGGGGATATATGTATATGTGTAACTGATTCACTTTGTTATAAAGCAGAAACTAACACACTATTGTAAAGCAATTATACTCCAATAAAGATGTTTAAAAAAAAAAAAAGGATCCACTGTTTCCTGTTTAACAACAGTGGTAAGTACTGGCTGTGTGCAGGGTACCTTGCTAGGCACTGAGCATTCAAAGACGGATGAGACCCTGTTCCTGCCCTCCGAGAGCCCACAGTCAACAATTGTGATGCTCGCTGTGGCCCTAAGCAGCCTCTATTCTTACTCTGTGCGAAGCTTGACCCAGAATCCCCATTCCCATCCTCAGAACTAACCCACTCCCCCCAGAATCACCAGGGAGGTGATGTCACGGAAGGTAACACAGGTGAGGGTGAGGCTTACATAACACATCCCCAAAGCAAACCACCAAGAACTCTCAGACCTGTTCTCCAAAATGCCTCTTCTGGGACTTCCTTGGTGGTCCAGTGGTTAAGACTCCATGCTCTCAATGCAGGGGGCCCAGCTTCGATCCCTGGTCAGGGAACTAGATCCCGCATGCTCCAAGTAAGAGCCCGCATTCCACAACTAAAGATCCCATATGCTTCAACTAAGAGATCCCGTGTGCCACAATGAAGATTCCGCATGCGGCAACTGAAGATCCTGAGTGCCACAGCTAAGATCCGGCTCAGCCAAATAAATTTAAAAAATAATAAATATTTAAAAAAATGCCTCTTCCCACCCTCCTGTGGGGTTTCTGCTTCTGGACCCACACCCTGAGAAATGCCCTGTCTTATTGCCCTATCTTGTCCTCCTCCCAATTCTCCACCAGTCACCTACTAGAGAGGCAGATAGTCTCCAGATTCAAGAGCCAATCTGCTCAGCCCAACTGCTGGCCACCCCTCTCGTGAGCTCTCCTCTCGGGTGGGAGGCTGAGCTTTTCAAGGCCCCCTTTGCTCCTCCGGGGAATGGGCTCTTGCGGTCGTGCTGCCAGGTAAAGCATGCACAGCACGTGGAGAGGGTCTGGATTGCGGAGGTGTGCTTGCTGTGAGCACGATCAGGACAGCAAGTCCATGCTCACCTGCTTCTACCGCCAAACTCGTCCACCCCTCCACAGCAGCACTCACCACCCACATGCTCTCCCCTTAGAAGGACACGTCGCGTTGCTTTGCCTTCCTTGGGTGTGTATTTGCTGTGAGAGCGCGTGGATCACCTTGGAACAGAGAGGAAGTAACTGGGGGTCCCGGGAAGGCTTCTGAGAGGGGGCACAACTCTGAACTGAGTTTTATCCAGGTCTGGACAGTGGGATGGACATTCTGGGGAGGAAGAATCAAATCAGGTAGGCTCCGGAGCCGGAAGAGC